GCCTATTTGGGGAAACTGTTTCAAGTTCGCCTAAGCATTCATGACGTCATAGTAACGCCATTGAAATCCTACCATTGCATTGGTCAAGCGGTGATCACGGCCAGGAATAACAAAATTGTCGAGTCGTTCATATCTGATATTCGTGAACACAATTTCCAAGTGCCCCCGATCGTCTCTCTGTCAATGTTGTGCGGGTAAGATGACGCAATCAAGGAACGCTGTATTAGGCAGCAACTTTACTAAACGGAATAATTTTTGTCAAGAGCACTCTTTTCCACTTAAATGCATACCAATAGTTACACGTGAGCTTATTCCATTATGTCTGGTGCTTGCTTCAAGATATTCAGATATGGAACATTCCCACTTGAGCGTATACTATCGACGGCAATGCTCCGCCACGCCACGTATCTCCACAGGCGTGACGTGTTATTGGGGAAGGGCGGCCGTCCGTAATATTCACAACGCAAACCTCAATCCTTGTCGTAGGTTTAGAATATGATTTCTCCGAAAAAAGTTTGACTACCTAGAGTACTGGAACGATGTGTGCTTGATAGAATGGGATCCCCATGACTCGTCAAGTGAGTTTATGTTTCCACACACGTTCATGCATTTTATTGAAGACAAAGCACGCCATCGGGGGATGGTGAGTCGGCGGAATGTTCTCACTTCCTAATGACTAACACCCATGCAACATTGCCGGAATAAAATCTCGTGTGAACTATTTGGTCGGTTTACATCGAGTGCACTGAACATCACCTGTAGTTGGCATTTGAACTCACGCGAACGAATTGATTTTATCTCCAAAATACGATCGATCAATTTGCCATCGTATTTCACGCTGACTCAATCTGCATGTGATGAGAAGAGCGCGAGTCGTAGGTAATCGTTGTATTCCTGGTCAAACACGTCTGGAGCTGTCCACATTTCTGCTCGCCTTGCTCGCACCAGGCCCGCCCCGTATGAACTAGCAGCAGCGTCTGATGCCTCCACACCACACACACGAGCTGCATTCACTGTATGACAGTTGGTGCTGACACGTGGTTGAAGCTCCATAGAGACCTCTCGGCAAGTTAGTCCAGGACGGCGTCGATGCAATGGCAACGGTGTTTCGCCTTCTCACTGGCAGACGGTGAAGTGCTGAGGAACTGCACAGTTTGCGTCAGAGACAAACACAACGCCAGACCGCGGGGAAATCCGCCGCGACACTGAACACAAAACGCCGAGTCATGGCGCATTGTGGTCTCCCTGTGTCATTCTTGAGCACAGTCCGTCAGGCACACAGCGTCTAATGACTGCGTCAACCCGCATGCCAGTGTTGAGTCACTCACAATACACAATCAAACCCAGGGCACGTCGCCAAGTGACTTCCCGACCTCCGCAGTATCCCGTCATCGAGCTGGCACACTCATCGCCGTGAAGGGCGCGCCCCTGCGAGACCTGCCACTCCTGCCAACTGAGAGCTGCAACACAAAGCTGCCCCATCACCCGCACCACACACCTTTGTTATTTATCTCGGCTTTCCTTGCGACGAGATCGGACGGTAGGCGGATAGCGAGGGGAGGCGGGCGCCCGCTGGCGCCCCGGCTGTATTACGTCCCGGGCCTCGGCGAGAGTGAGGCTCCGTGTCCCGTGTCGCCGTCCGCAGCTGGGCATGTAGCCGGTCTGTCGGGTCCGGCCATCCAGCAGCCCGACGGCTGTCGAGCCGGTTTGCAGAGCGCTATGAAGCTCGTGACATTATGACGGCACTAGACGGGTCGGAACAGGGACAACCAGAAAGGGAGAGCCAAAAACAAGGTGTCACATCAAAGTAGTGCCACATACGGCTGCATAATTTTGAGGAAATGAGAAATGCAGGAATTATATGTAGGATATGCTCGTATGCAAAATTTTTCAGTGAGATGTAAAGCTAAAGATGTCTACTGCTCAAGTTAGCGCAACGGACGGGCGTGACATTTCTTGCCTAGGGTTGATCAAATAACGTGATTTTTTTCGGCCGCTTGTCACATTTCAACCTCGATTTTTTATCATCATTCCCTCATATTCTCATTAATACACGTCAAACAGTGATGAGATAATGGGAGGTGTGCTCCGGTGTCAGCTTCTATATGTCTTTGCTTCAATGCTACACGGGCTCGTTTCGCAGTTCTGGTCTGTTGGTAGCGTGTTCAAGACGCCCAGATCAGTACAGGTCAGAACAAAGCCGGGAGTTGAGCGACGAAGACTGGTTTCAGCACGCGAGCTGAACACGCCTCGCTTCGCGTGCTGCTGTTACCAGCTGTCGGCCGTTGGCGGCGGCCTGTGCCGCGGCTCATCAGCCGGTGTCCAGTAAGGAGCCAGAGAATGCCAGTGCCAGTGAATTCGCATGTTGGGTAGCGTATGCGCGCCGCAACTTTGGGATGCTGTAACGATCCGTGTGGTGCTCAATACTTCAGTTGTGCGTGCCGTACGCCTCTGGCTGATTGTTCCTAATGCTTTAAGCAGGAAAATGCGCATGGTGGCGAATGATGATACGTGATAATATTTTGGGCAAGTACAAGTACGAAGAGTTGTGAGTTGTAAACTTTTACATTTTTGAATGTAGAAGATTCGTGTCTTGCTTGAAAATAAGCAATGCTAATGCGTTTTGAAAGGTCCATCACCAGTCAGATTCCTTGAGGCGTTTTAGCTCCCCAAAAAAGATACGGCCTGGTCGTTGATGCAAGCAGAATTAGTAAAACACTAGGCGATATATGCTCCTGCTCAACATCTGATTCGTATCTTCGGCAAACTAGGACGCTTATGGAGAAGATCCGAGCTAACAAGTATAAAGCGAGCATTTATATACTTTTATACATTACGCTATCTTTTCTGACCACTGCACTATCTGTGCGAATATTCTCGCATTCGAGGTATCCTGATGTAATAATATGGGACTGATCATGAAAATACTCGTGCAAAACAAATATCCTGCACTGAATGATGCATTTCCAAAAAAGTAGGGAGTCGTGCACTTTTATTCGTGGCCGCAGGGCGGCCGATGATTGTTGCCACAGCTCTGCTCTGAAGCGATGGAGACGGGCAAACACGGACATGCAAGGTTACTGATTAAAGGGTGTCCACGGTGCCATCAGCTCTGCTCTGAAGCGATGGAGACGGGCAAACACGGACATGCAAGGTTACTGATTAAAGGGTGTCCACGATGCCATCAGCTCTGCTCTGAAGCGATGGAAACGGCCAAACACGGACATGCAAGGTTACTGATTAAAGGGTGGCCACGATGCCATCAGCTCTGCTGTAAATGATGTTCGCACAAAGCGGCAAGCCTCTGGTAGCTGTAACATCTCCCTGCTAGTATGTCCTGGTAGCTGTGACGTCTCCCTGCTAGTGTGCTCTGGTAGCTGTGACATCTCCCTGTTAGTATGCTCTGGTGGCTGTGACGTCTCCCTGTTAGTAGCTCTGGTAGCTGTGGTGGGTGTTTCCTTGCTAATATGTTCTGGAGGCTGCGGCGATTCCCTGCTAGTGTGTTCTAGTAGCTGTGGCGTCTCCCTGCTAGTATGTTCTGGTGGCTGTGACGTCCCTCTGCTAATATGTTTGAGACCGTTGGATGATAACTACGGGTTAAAAACACTGCAGCCACCCCGCCACTCCCGGCGTCCTGCACAGCCGGATGGCACCCAGCTCAACCGGGCGTCTTATGGATACCAGCCTCGCCAGTTTTCTTTTGTGCAGCTTAGATACGGACTGTCCCAACCAACAGCATTTTTCTATGCTTTGTCCGGGTGCGGCGCAGTGAGAGTAGACAGCATGTAATGTCCCGCCGTGTTATCGTCACACCAATGACGGTCGGTCCAAGGATTGGCGCGATGTCTCTCCAAAAATCGAAATAAACTAATCCTATCCCAACTGGTAATCCTGCACGGGCTGAATGCCATATCGAGCCGGTGGGGCGAGCTTTTTGGTCAGCATTGTCACATGACAATGCCAATCATGGCTCCATGACGTATCACAGGTATGGCAGCGACAATAGAGACCTGAAGTCCCCAACCTTGGAAACAGTCAGCTTATGCCAGCAGTAAACATGCCCTGCCAATCCCGCGTGCCCCGCCGCCACGATCCCACACCCGAGGGTCGCGCTCACCATAGTTGTTCAGTACTCATAGGTCGTCCGTTTACGAGAAACAAAGACACGCTGCAAGCGATGATCGCTGGTTGCGACGTTACGCAGAGTGTGTGTCCACTGTAACGTCACTTTAAGCGACTGGCGTGCCGTGTCGTGCATATATGCATGGATTTTCGGACTCATGCATCAACCCATGACGGAACCCACGCGGCTTCCTTGCCGCGCCATTACGATGAGCAGCGAGCCGTCCGTGGTATGATAAACGTCAGTAAGGGTACATCAAACCCGCTTGGGGTCCTCTCTATCCCCTGTGTTGGCATACTAGTGCTATGCTCTTTCGAAAACATTACGGCTGTTTCAGAGGAAAGTTTAAAGATACGTAAAGCACTGGCTTACATTACAACATTACCTATGCCACACCAGCACGTTTCCGACCCGAACCATGTCTGAACCATGGCATGGCATGACACCTGAAATGGACTTGCACACATGGCCGTTTCTCAGCGACATCCGAAGCACCAGACGGATCCATGACACTTGTCATCCGAAGCACCAGACGGATCCATGGCACTTGTCATCCGAAGCACCAGACGGATCCATGACACTTGTCTGTGCCGCTATCAAAATCTGTGCACCCTGGTCGATAGTGAGCAGGTTTTCACAGATACTGCACCGCTTCGCACGAAACGTACTTCAAAAGGCTGTGCCAGCACGGGTCACGACCTCAAAGCACTGATATTGCCATCAAATGATGAGCGGTTCTGCTCGAAGGCAACACGACTTGTCCCAATAAACAACGCAAGCCAGGATCGTTTCGTCACTGAGAAGCGGTGCGTGGTCGTCAGCTGAGCAAGCTCTTACATGTGCCTAAAATTAGCGCTTTCTGGAAAGGACTAGAAGCGGCACGTTTGTCGTGTATTCAAGGCACGCGTTGCAAGGTGTCTGGTGTCATCATGGACACTGGCGCGTCAGCGAAAAGCTAATGGAGGCACAAGTATTGCAACTGACGGTATCAACGCATACAAATGGGACTTATAACTAATATCCAGCGCAAATAAAACCGCGTGAACCATAAATAGCTCGCTGGCACATTAGGCTAATGACAAGAGGTCACCATCCAAAGCTCTGTCGGCGGTCAGTGCATTGCGTGTTATTACGTCAGCCGAGCTCGTGGACCAAGTCATTCAGCTGCCTCTCAAGCAGGCGATACTCTTCCTTCTCACTTCTCAGTTTGTCAAATAGGCGCTCTGCGGTAGTTTTCAGCATATAGTTACCTTTCTTGATCGCTTTCTCGTTGTCCTCGTGACGTTTCGCGCGTTCCTGCATCAGCTGAGTCCTCTCGTCCAGCGGAAGATCTTCGTCATCCGATTCTAACTCCTCTGATGATTCCTCGTCAGTATCGGACTCGGTTGCCGACTCAGATTCCTCACTGGTCTCTTCTTCAGATTCTTCCTCGCTGTCTTCTCCACTGTCCTCATCATCGCTGTCCTTAAGCATGGCTCCCATTTTCTTCACCTCGCGTTGCAACTCTTTATACTTCCTGTTTTCGTCTCTCATATTTTGATTGAGGGTCTTGATGCGATTTTTCAAGTGCATTCTTTCGTCCTTAGCGTGTTTCACCTTTGTCTGCATATGAGACACCTTGCTTTCACACATTTTGAGCTCTCTCAACTGTTTCTTCTTGTGCTGATCTGCATCTCTTTGCCTCTCCCCCTCACTATCCAGATCTTCTTCGGAAAGCTCTTCCGACTCCTCGTCCTCCTTGGCATGCTCCTCCTTACCCGTCTTCACGTTCCCCTCCCTGCCCACCCGCGCCTGCGACGCCGTCTTGGCGATCTTGTCCTTGGTCCTGCTCCTGGCCATCTTGCCTGAGGACTTGTTTCTCCGCACCTCGCCGCTGTTCTCGACGGATATCCTGCGGCTCCTCTGCCGGCCGTGCTCGGCCTCCTCCAGGCGGGCGCGCAGCGCGGCCAGCTCCTGCTCGGCGCCTCGGCAGCGCTCCTGCCAGAGCAGCGCCTCCCGAGACGAGGCGCCCGCCTCGTCCCGCATCATGGCCATCTCGCCAGCCAGCGCGCCCAAGTCGTCCTCGAAGTCGTCGGTCGCGGAGGAGGGCGCCGACCCGCCCGCCTGCGGCACAGGGCGCGTCGTGGTGAGGACACTGACGCTTCAGGCCCACATATGGGCAGAGACATCTCTACCTCTCCAACACTGCGCCGAGTGAAATGGCCAGGGATTGGCACTCCGTGCACATGTGCTTCACATGTTATCCATCTGGCGGAGTTAAGTGTATCAATACGACGCCCACTTAAAGCAATAATAATTTTATTGGCGTACACCTATCTGTGAGGTTTAAGGGTTTATTCATTCCATGCGCTCGTGCACATTAGCTTTGACACCGTAAACCGGGGTCACTCAGTGTAGTGTGGCAATCTGACATGATTTCATCCCATTATTTTGAACTGTTATTGCTCTCCCAAAATGCATATTTTCGGTGCTTCTTTCGAAGCCTTTTCAGCCTGACAATGGCGCCCCTTTGCTGATTGAACTTTTTCAATTATATTTCCATACCGATATCCCACAATTTCCTGAGCAGCTTTTTCAGTCAGCTTGAAATTTTCAAAAAGATCCCACTAACTCCCATCTTGCAACAATGACAACACTCATCCCTACTATGTGAGAGTGCGTCTCCTTGTCTACCATTGATATTAACTATAGGCACATCTATATGTGTACATACAGACAATACATGCATTCTCTTATTCACATCGTGTTTCATAGATTTGTGTTCTTGAATACCTTCAATATTCCGAATTGAAGTAGACTGGTGAGTTGATATCACTAGCCATAGTGAGCGGATATTTGATCCTCCAGTCTTTGACATCCATTCTGCCGTCAGTTGGTAAAAGTTCAGAACTGGGACTTTTGGCCAGCATGTCTGAAGAATCGCCCTGATTATACCATCTGGCATTCATAAGAGTATTGGTTGATTTGGAGCTGACCAAGTTGAGGTGCTGGTCTGCTGGAGCAGATGACAAGCAGCAGCTGAGGCTATGAGAAAGCTCTCAGCTGACGTCAATTCAGCGTCGTCTGGGGCAATGGCGCGGTTGTAACTGCGGCGCTGTCTGGCTAGTCATGAGATTGTGACTACGGCACTTTCTGGCTACTGATGAGGTTGTAGCTACGGCGCAGCCTGGCTAGTAGTAAGGTTGTAGCTGTTAGACTGTCTGGCTAGTGGTGAGGTTGCAGCGGTGGCGCTGTCTGGCTACTGGTAAGGTTGTAATCGTATCGCTGTCTGGCTAGTGATGAGGTTGCAGCTGCGGCGCTGTCTGGCTAATGATGAGGTTGTAGCTGCGGCCCTGTCTGGCTAGTGGCGAGGTTGTAGTTGTGGCACTGTCTGACTAGTGATGAGGTTGCAGCTGCGGCGCTGTTTGGCTAATGGTGAGGTTGTAGTTGCGGCCCTGTCTGGCTAGTGGCGAGGTTGTAACTAAGGCGCTGTCTAGCTAGTGGTGAAGTTGTAGCTGCGGTGCTGTCTGGCTAGTGGTGAGGTTGCAGCTGCGGTGCTGTCTGGATAGTGGTAAGAATACAGCTGCGGAGCTGTCTGGCTAGTGGCGAGGTTGTAGTTGTGGCGCTGTCTGACTAGTAGTGAGGTCGCAGCTGTGGTGCTGTCTGGCTGGTGGTGAGGTTGTAACTGTAGCGCTGTTTGGCTAGTGATGAGGTTGTAGCTGCATCGCTGTCTGGCTAGCGATGAGGTCGCAGCTGTGGTGCTGTCTGGCTAGTGGCGAGGTTGTAACTGTAGCGCTGTCTGGCTAGTGGTGAGGCTCCAGCTATGACGCTGTCCAGCTAGCTGCTGGTGCACTGATGATTATGCATGTCCCTGTTCAGGTGGGCTTGCTGTCCTGTCGATCGCTTGCCGGCCTTCCAACATTCCCGCTTACACCTTTGCACCCAACGTTTCTGAATCAACCAGGATGTTTCATTTTGCGGCTCATTTTGTTTAATGCTTGGGACCTTTTTGATGAGATGTTTTAAGTGGCCTAGGTAGATTGGGGATGCACCCTTGGTGGCCTCCGCGGTACATTTGAAATAGGCTCGGTGGAATGTGGATGAACACATTCGCTCTTAGTTCGCTAATGGCTCTTATCTAAAACTAGACAGTGTACGGCTTGACGAAAGTAAGGTTATTGTGAATTGAGCCAGTTTTGGGAAATAAATATATGTTTTAGATCACGCTTTTCATTGACTTTTTAAGAAATCACCACTACATCAATTTATGACATACACTCCGGAGTTTATCAAAGATCAAATCACCTCAGGAGGTGATTTGATCTAAGATTTCTCCTGAAACAAGATTCTAAAATTATGTTTGTATCCTTGTAAAGTGAATTTATTCCTCATACTACACTTTTGGAATCCTAACCTTAAAACTACACAACACATACTGCGGTCCGACGAGTGCCGAATCAACAGGTTATAGACAGAACTCATGGCAGCAAGGACTGTCGAGCGGTCGAGTTGCCTCATTACAAATGTCTTGTGGCCAGCATTGCAGTTTTTCAATTCTACTTTTCCATCAAGCAGAACATTTTGATAAGAAACATCTGTTCAAGCTCCGCAAATGCCGAATAACTCCTCCCTTTGTGCCATGGATGCAAACCTAGTGCTATGCATAATGGTTATAGCATACAAAGTACGCTCACAGCAAAAACAAATGCACCACAGCAATTACCACAATGTGTCATACTATGCCGGACTAAACCGGATGGTTTTCCGGTGGGCCAAACAGCCTAAAGCTCATTATGCAAGAGAAGGTGGACACATTCTCACGAAAGCGCGGGAAATTACTGAGCAATTGTTGGAAGCTATCTAGGTGAAATTTAATCAATACCTAGAAAAATAACATAAACGCTACTAAAATGCAATTTATACACCTGCACAGTGACTGCTGGTGCTGCAATAGACCTGCATAAGCAGCCAGCTTGATGAAACTCTCTGTCACCAATGATGAAACGTCACATGTCGTTGCAACAAGTGTTTAAAACTACGACTGCCAGTATTCAGCCACAGGTCACCAGCGACAACTACAAAATAGTCTGACTGCCCATGAGCTTGGGAACGGAGGGCACTGATCGACCGCCCGAGGATGTTTTCAGTTTCCGCCGGACTAATCGATGACACATCATTTTTGCAGTTTAATCTGTTAAGTCGCATTTGGTTCAGACGTTTGTCATCGCTTGTTACGTTAGTCTGGTCGTCGCTGATGCTGCGTAGCATGCTTTTAGAAGTGACACGATTTATTAAATATCGCGAGGGTTATTTGCGTCATTAGGCGTTAACCGTACGGCCGCACGGCACCTCCGTTATTACAGGCAGAGACATTCCAGACAGTGATAGGCCAAGACAGACGGCATTTCTGAAGGTCATGTTCGGCATCGAGCCAAGATCGTGCGGTGCGCGTTTAGCTGAGACCGACTGAAAGTGGCGTTTCCCGCCAGCTTTATGTCTGAATCAGTCACAGAACATGAACAGCTGAGCCGGAGTTACCGGAAGATCTGTGGGGAGATCAATACATCCTGCTTGCAATCGCAGTAACAATCTGTCGAGAGAGCAGCTTAATAGAACTTTATCGTCGAAGCTTCCTTATAGAATGTGCATGAACCAGTACGCACATAGAATGTCACCAATGAGAGGTTTAATGGTCTTCCTGCCATCACATATTTTCGCAAGGTCAGATATGTTTGCTGTCTGCTGCGAGAACAACAACAACAGTGTATGTTGTGAACGGCTTGAGGCGTGGTGTCAGGAACATATGAAGCAACACAAGGAGAAAAGCCTGCGCATGTGTTACACAAGCCTCCCGTGCGCTCATCTAGTGTCATTTGCGCAAGTATCGAGCTTTGAGTGCTTGAAAAATATTGGACAAAGTTCAGGTAGTGACAAAAACAATAGCACCTTTGTTTCTTTCAACCTAAAATACAAGGACGAAGGCCGTAAGACGAGCCGTTGTTCTTTCAACCAGTGGAAATTCAGCGTGTACCATGCGAAAATAAACCGACACCAGCCACCAACAAATGCCAGAGGACACATCTGAGCAGATAAGCCCGGCCCCTGGCGTGCACACGTAAGTACGCACATGTGCTGGCGGTGGCGCGTCAGAAATCCGAGAGCACTCCAGCTGCTCCTGGACCCGCTTCAGTTCTGCCTTCAACTGCTTGTTCTCCTTGGCAAGGCGCTCCCGGTTCTTCACCTCGTCGCCCAGCATCTGGCGCGTTGACTGAAGGTCATCGCGCACCTGATGACAGCGGCCGCAGTCAGGTCGGCTCTGACAGACGCGTGTCTCCAGCACCGGCCCACCGCTGCTGGGCCCAAACCGCACGCTTTACAGCCAACAATACACAACCATAGGGTGTTATGACGTGCCTACGGTGTCACGCTTTGACAAGCACAACGAGCCGCATGACACGTGGCGCCTCAGCCCTGGCGCTCGGCGCGGGCGGTCTGAGAGCAATGTTGGCAGGAAGGGCCGCGCGGCCGGCCCGCCCGCATGCCAACCGGCCTCCCTGGCGCGTCCGCTGCGGTCACGACGCGCCCTCGCCGAGTCAGGCGGAACCTGGCGCCGGCTCGTGCACACAGTGACACTGCAGACGGGGCCGGCGGTCTTCCTGCGTGACGCGCCCAGCCACGTCAGCGCCGGCCGCCTCAGCGCCGCTCACCCGGTCAATATCGTCCAGCTCATCCGGCTCCGAGTCCATCAGCTCTTCCGGCGGCAGGTTGACGAACGCCTCTGAGGTTCGCTGTCTGCGCAGCTTGCGGAGGCCTGGCGACCGGCGGCGGTGGTGCACACGTCATCACGGATGTCCGGCGATCCAGTGCAGGGTAAACAAGGGTAGGCAAGACTAGGAATGACGCAAGACCAACGCAGTTCAATTCACGGACGTTCAGATGGGCAGGTGAACATCACATGTATAACTGAGGCAGGTCGTGTGTGACGTCATATGATCAGCTTGGTGATGATATGATGAGTGGTGATGCCATGCAGGATTGGGACGATAACTGTCAATGGCTGATATGCTCTTTGGGACGATAACTGTCGAGGGACATATATTTTTTGGGACGATAGCTGTCGAGCACGCAAGACTTTCCTGTACGGAACAGAAATGATTCACCCGTATTCTTGCATGAGTTGTGTTTATTTCTGCTGATTCACGCAATGGACAGTCACATCCACAACCACTACAATAAACACCAATATGAAAACCTTCCCAAAGCCCCCTGTACAGCATCGGCGGCCAAAGAGCCCTTCTGCGCGGTTTTTTGTTAGGAGTAGTGTTATACACCTCTGAAGAAGGATCGCAGTACTCTGAAACAAAAAATACGCTCCCTGAAAAAATGCATAGCGTACGTTAAATCGTCTGTCTAAACAGTGTTTTGTTTTTAGGCAGTAACTTTCAACACCCTTCAGACAGTATCAAGGAGTCTTTTGATGCTAAGGAGGCTCTCCTTTTAACCTCCCAATAACACCCTTGAGACGACTGAAATAATACATGGAATGATATTTCCTTTGCTAATGTTTAAACCGTCAAAGCCTTACCCCAGAATGTCCCGTGCTCCATCATATGCTTGTTAGATATCTACAACTGGGGGTTTACCCCGTGGTTACAGATTGGGTCTTATCGGATTCGTTTTGGCTTGTTTGAATCAGCGCCCTTTCAACCGTTCGTGGCCATTTCATGGCCGTAGAATGAAAGAGAAAGGATAATGGTGGGACGATGCTACATGCACCTGGGAATCCTCCGCCGCGATTTAGCCTGCATAGGGTCCCTCTTCTGGGTATGTACTCGGCGCTTGGATAGGCCCTCCGCTAGTGACACTTAAGCCCACTTGTGGCTGGGGCATGCAGCTTGCCCTCGGTAAACGAGGCGCCGCGAGTATGCAGATGACGTGGATGAGGAAAACTGTGAATGGATTTGTCGGGTCGAGCATAAGGTGGATTTATTTAGGAGGGCGTCTAGGCACAAAATCGACGAACACGCCAAACACTTCAGACAGAATGAAATAAAACGTCATAATAGGCTGTAAAGAAAAGTCGTGCATAATACCATGCATTGCTCCAAAAGCAGCAACCCGACGTCATGGGAGCTAAATTATGCGTTACAATACCCTGCTTTATAGGTTACCATACGTGGTTCGCACCGGAGCCATGTCGATACATGTCTTGGTATTACCAGATCGAGGTCACGTTTGAGACTAGGCCGTGTCAGGCCTGACGAGATCCAATGCACATGTGATTGAGAGCGGTCGGCATCGCCAGAGCCAGCGCAACGGCCGGATCTGCCATAGCCAGCAGATGATCCTGAGTCGTGATAGCCGTCACGTAACGGCCAGTCCCACCCGAGTCATAGCGTTACGGCATGCAACATAGGCACCAGGGCAGCTGTTAGACCTACCAGAGCCAGCGCAGCGGCCGGGCCCCCTGGAGCCAATGTGGCGGCCAGAGTTGTCGTTTTATCGAAGTTCTAATCCAAAAACCAACACGCAATCCCATGCTGGACCAGCTGCCCGTCAAAAAGTGCCCCAAAATCAGGTTGTCCAGAAATAGGTATCTTTTAATTCAAATAATTACTGCCTACAGCCAATAACCTTAGTCACTACCAGCCTCGCTGTATTCGCTCGCTCAAATCAAATGAGAAGAAACAAAATTATTGTGGTTAAGTGATGTGTATCTGCATCAAATGAGTTGAAACGCAATATTCACCTGGGATACCACAGAATGACATCAGCTTTAGCAGAAAAAAACAACAACAAAAGCAAAGATTTCTGCCCCTGTCCGTCCAATTCCCCATTCGGGCTTCGACTTATTTGGAATTCCACAAAAATGGAAATCAAACTAGCACTTCTAGTGGCGACCTGCGTTGCTATTCAAACACACCGATCAATTCCAACAGTGCCAGCACAGGCCCGAGTTCCCCAGAGGTGGCATAAACGCAGGCCCAAGCTGCCCATAGCCGGCATAAACGCAGGCCCGAGCTCCCCATAGCCGGCATAAACGCAGACCCGAGCTCCCCATAGCCGGCATAAACGCAGGCCCGAGCTCCCCATAGCCGGCATAAACGCAGGCCCGAGCTCCCCATAGCCGGCATAAACGCAGACCCCACCGAAGACCCCGAGTTCGTTCTCACTGTCGGAGCCCCAGCTTACAGTGCTCCGACAGTAAACAGAGCATCGCTATTGGTGTAGAAGGTTTCTTATCTACTATCAAGCGCAATTAGCTATATCGATCTGACGATCCAAGAACTTTGTGAGTACGAGGTAACTTGTAAGGCCTGTGCTCATCTTAATGAAATAGGGTCGAAAAATAAGTTACCTGCATACGAAACGGAGCGTTCGTGAACTGCCAGTGCCAGTTGCCAGTCCGTGCCAGTTGCAAGAGATTACTAGTTCCAATATGCAGCGAAATCAACGACAGATTCCGCAGGTATTTAAAGGGTAAATCTGGAACAGCTATGAATCTCCCATTGCACAGGGATGTCCATACATCAGCATACCGCTTATTAACAAAGGCATGCCAATCAAGTTTCATCATTAGTGCAATTAGGCGACTGTATATATATATATATATATATATATATATATATATATATATATATATATATATATATAATGGTCAAGAAATGGTTCCACTTCCGTTCAGTGTGAAAAGCAGACGGTTTTTCCGGCTATGACATCCCACCAACCGACTACTCTCATCTGAAGCGCCGCCACTGGGTGCCGGCAGTGCAGCCATGACAGGCAAGCACGCGTCACGCTGCAGAGCCATGCAGGGTTCGCCCCGGTCGAGAGGGGCGTCTTGGAGGGTAATGAGCCTTTCTAGAGCCCAAGGTCAGACAAGCTATTTGAGGTGGTCAGCACAACATTTCAATTTGTAGTTTGTCATAACACCATATCAAGGGTCGTGGCATTTATAAAGCCGCACCCAGTTCAGTGAAGGACGTCATTAGTCTGTATTGTGCTCAATCTTTCAGGTTCTCGCTGGACCGGCATCCCCCCCCCCCCCCCCATTGATGCACCTGCGCCTGCCATAGGCACGGAGAGGCGTGTGGAAGTATTACACTGTGTCAGTCCTTGGTATGAGAGGCGGTGATCGATTCAAGGCTTTTAAACATGAAACAATGTCAAATAAAGTGGATATACGAAATGAATATGCCACTACAAGCTTAAAAGGCCCGTAGGCGGGACCTTACACGACAGCCCCTGATCGGGGAGCCTCGCCACGACCACAGGTCGCATCATCACAGGTCCGGCTGGGCATTTTTCGCTGCCGTGTTGTTCTTTGCTGCAGCATCATGGGATAAAGAGACCGCTGGGTAGTGTCACTAAACGGATAAGTCTTCCACAAGACCAAGCTAAGCCCCTGCTGTTATTTCGCCGCCGGCTGCCGTAGGGAGCAGTAAATACGAGTATGGGTCATCACCAAAGCCTCTTGGTCTGGCTAACGTCACAAAGCTGTCCAAGAAGCAGTGTCTAGTATCTCACCTCAGTGATCTTGTCTATACGATCAGCTCTTAGCGCACCGGAGTACTGTGAATCTGATCAAATATGTGCGTTATGGGACCAACCGGAGTTCTGCTACACGTTTAAACAGGCGGTACGGAGGAGGCTGCCAACACGAAACTCCCCGGGGAAAGGGAATCTACCCCTCCCCTCCCTGCTCTCTTTTCTGTCAGGAGCGTTAGAGATGGATTGTGCCAAAGTTTGTATCCTGCTGATGACCTCTTGCATGCAAGGATGTTGTAACTATAGGTCAAATAGTTTTGATTCAAACAAGGCAAGCAGCTGAAGTCGTTGGTCGGCAACAATAAACGGATGCCAACAATTTTACTCGAGCGAAGATCAACGATTAGCAAGTTTACTCGAGAGAAGATCAACGATAAACAATTTCATTCGAGCGAAGATCAGCGATTAGCAATTTTACCCGAGTGAAGATCAACCATTAGCAAAGTGACGCATACAATGTGCGAAGTGTAGCAAATTTGTTATGTGGTTGCCGAGAATTTGGCGCAAAATGATCGCGATACAGCTTTCCAGAAGCTCACGGAAACGTCTGAAGCCACAGATACATGCAATGTGTCCAGTCCCGTTTTTTTCCTAACCCCACGTTGTTCCACTCACGGCGGCGCCACCTTACCGTGAATGTTTTCTTACGCGGTGTGGTGGAACCTGAAGTCGAAGTGAGTGTAGAGCGCTCAATGACAGTGGAACCTGAAGTCGAAGTGAGTGTAGAGCGCTCAATGACAGTGGAACCTGAAGTCGAAGTGAGTGTAGAGCGCTCAATGACAGTGGAACCTGAAGTCGAAGTGAGTGTAGAGCGCTCAATGACAGTGGAACCTGAAGTCGAAGTGAGTGTAGAGCGCTCAATGACAGTGGAACCTGAAGTCGAAGTGAGTGTAGAGCGCTCAATGACAGTGGAACTTGAAGTCGAAGTGAGTGTAGAGCGCTCAATGACAGTGGAACTTGAAGTCGAAGTGAGTGTAGAGCGCTCAATGACAGTGGAACTTGAAGTCGAAGTGAGTGTAGAGCGCTCAATGACAGTGGAACTTGAAGTCGAAGTGAGTGTAGAGCGCTCAATGACAAACATTTTTTCAAAGAAACAGAAGGGGGTTAGCGGACGCATGACTTCAAACGAAGGCAGCTCTTTCAAGCCACGAGCGCTCGTGTGCCAGAGCAGCGGCCAGCGATAGCTATGGATGGCCGTTCAATTCTATCGGACTGCGGCAAAAACGTATTTTTAACCGACTTGGTTGATGTTTGGCTTCACTGACGTGTTGTTCTTCCGCTAATACGTGCACCAAAATCCCTGTCTTTAAGCTACTTAAACAAAAAAATAAGCTGTTCCTAATTTTTCTTTTGCATATTATTCAACAAAAACGATAGGATTGGGTACGTCTCGTAAACGTTTTATCAAAGCACATATCCGTACCCGTGATTTTCCCAAACCTGTATGCAGATCAACCGCTACCCAGTCCATATGAGAGTCAATCGGTTTACCCAACCCATGAACTGAAATCAATGTGTTAGACAAAACTGACACACAAACCGTGGTACAAACCTAATTACAATTCTGCGAAAATAGTGAGATATGATTTCTGCATAGTTTCCAAAAGGTGACGGACTACATTCTCTGAGGTTTCAATTTTATGGGGAAGACAAAAACATTCTTACCTGTTTTGACTTCATCTCGTCTCATCCCACATGCATATGGCGTTCAATGGCAAAAGGTACCTTAAAACGCTGATGTTCTCTTCAACTTCGAACAGTCATTTTGGCCCCTGGTATTGCTTGATCTAGCTTTTCGTCAACCAGATCAGCAGATAGCAGTGATGTGTTGCCATGTGTAGGCCACATTAGACGGAACAAGTGGTCACTAAGGAGCATGCCGTTGCCGAGACAGCCTCAAACAGGAGCCGATACAACGTAAAGAGGATGAGTCAGCTTTGCGGTCAACATGGCGAAATCCATGCTCTGTGGGATAGGCGCCCGTTTGTCGACAGACTGCATCAGACTGACCGGTCTCGGAAGTGGAAAGATAAACGAAAACGGATGGCTGGTTCTCCTTAGAGAACCTGGAACAAGCAAACAATAGCGCTGAAAAGGTATTAATCCGGCAGCATGGACATAAGTGATAAGGAAAACCACAGAGAACGTGGAAGGACGCAAGCATTTTGGTTGCGAGTGAAGAAGGCGGCGCACTGAGTGGTAGCGTGCAGACCCTGCGGGTTCGGCCTGCTCGCACTAAGTGGCAGCGTGCAGACCTTGCAAGTTCGGCACTGAGTGGCAGCGTGCAGACCCTGCAGGTTCGGCACTGAGTGGCAGCGTGCAGACCTTGCAGGTTCGGCACTGAGTGGCAGCGTGCAGACGCACCTTGCAGGTTCGGCACTGAGTAGCAGCGTGCAGACGCACCTTGCAGGTTCGGCACTGAGTGGCAGCGTGCAGACCTTGCAGGTTCGGCACTGAGTGGCAGCGTGCAGACGCACCTTGCAGGTTCGGCACTGAGTGGCAGCGTGCAGACCTTGCAGGTTCGGCACTGAGTGCCAGCGTGCAGACGCACCTTGCAGGTTCGGCACTGAGTGTCAGCGTGCAGACGCACCTTGCAGGTTCGGCACTGAGTGGCAGTGTGCAGACCTTGCAGGTTCGGCACTGAGTGGCAGCGTGCAGACCCCGCAGGTTCGGCACTGAGTGTCAGCGTGCAGACGCACCTTGCAGGTTAGGCACTGAGTGTCAGCGTGCAGACCCTGCAGGTTCGGCACTGAGTGGCAGCGTGCAGACGCACCTTGCAGGTTCGGCACTGAGTGGCAGCGTGCAGACGCACCTTGCAGGTTCGGCACTGAGTGTCAGCGTGCAGACGCACCTTGTAGGTTCGGCCGGCTCCGGTCGTTGCACTTCACTCTCTTCAGCCTCACGCCAGAGCGAATGTCGTTCATCAGCTTATCGGTCGGTGTTTCCTTCTCCTTCTCCGATTCGAATATGAACTGAAATAGTCCAGGAACGGTTGCGAACCTGTGCTGTTGGTGCACAAGCTGGTGCACGACGATGTCCCGAAAGATGCCAGTGGCATACAGGTCGGTCATAAGGGTACTAAACATGTTCTCTATGTTCTCTTAGTCTGTGTTGCACCTAACGAAATAAAAGATATTAAACTCAGCAAAACAACCCAAAGACGCTAGCGCCTTTCGACTCGCACTCATCACACAGAACGTTGGTTCATCCATCAACTCGAGCTGACAGGCAGTTGACTCTTTGTCCTTTTTAAGAACATGCCCCTCTCCACCTGAGATGCGCATCCAGTTTCGCAATTATACAAAATCATCTTTCACAACATCCTGGGGATCAGCCTGCCCGTCCAATCCTCTTTCCATTGCGCCCGCACCCCCTCCCCCCTCCCGCTGGTGCTGCCACGCCGCCAGCGCCCCCGCTTGCCTCGCTGCCGCGTCGCTTCAGGTCGTGTATGATGGGGGCGCTGCGGTCGCGGCACTCAACATGGCGGAGCCGGCGCGCCGGCCGGCTGATCTCCGCCATCATGACGCCCCAGTCGGGCCGGCGGCGCGGCGTCTTCCGCAGCCGCTCCAGCTTCTCATGTTGGCTGGGCGTCAGCGGGGGCTTGTCTGCCAGCGCGTCCGGCCGATGGTGTCACGCGCAACACCAGCAGGATGGAGTCGATCGACATGACGAGCGCTAAAACGCAAGCGGTCAACTACCTGGGGCCCATTAAGAAACGTGACCTTGTCTCTCCGCGCAAATATCAGGCGCTCGTCGTTACCAGCCGCCGTCGAGTTTCTGCTGCAGAAATCGCCTTTATTGAGGAGGAAAGGCTTTATTACCTTTTTTGGGCCTACCTCTCAATTACATAAGTACACCAAGGCCAGATGCACGCTACTAGCAACGGACGAAATACGGCGAACTTGGCAATGTCAAGAAGAACTGGCATGCACTATGGCCATGCCTAACGGCGCATGCAGATAGGGCTGCAAATGTTGTAATCAAAGCACAGAATAAAATACAAATATAATTGGTTACACAGGATGGGTGTCAGAAGACAGGGGGCGTTTTTAACGCCAGATGCAAGCACGGACACTCCTCATTGGCGGAATCGCGCGCAGTTAGCGCAGCTGCCATATTTGGTGACTGCCGCCGAACACGTCCCGTCGCAGGCGATCTAGTCATTCAGGCTCCGTAGCATCGTGTATATTATTTTAAAAAACGCAACTGTTACAAGTGCGTTAATGCAAGGATAAAAATGCAAGATGTCAGAATAAAAATTAGAGGGCTTGACAGAAGAGCAAATAATTACACACGTGAGAGACACACGTTATGTGTCAAGAAGACATCCAATGCGATCTCGACCTTGATATACCTGACAGGAGCGGCGGCAGCGGAAGCCTGGAGGGGGGTGGGGGCGGAGGAGGCGGAGGTGGGGGCACCAGTTTGACCGACTCCCAGGGCGCGGCCTTCGGCTCCGCCGGGCCCTCAGTCGCCTTGGCCCGGCCTTCCAGCTGCTGCAGTTTGCTGAAATCTATTACGCCTGTTGGTTACCATCAATCCATTTCAAGGGTGTTCAATCGTCTTTCATCATGCAAAACAACAACGGTAATATGTCTACAGATTCAGATAAATTGTGCATCATATTCAGTACTGGGAATCGTGCTAGAGAAATTGTCAAACTGGGGATTTCGAAAACAAATGTAGGGTATCAACAACGCAGAATAACGCAATGAACTCCGTATAAAATATTCACGAGAGCATGCATCTTAATGTAAAATGAACTGCTATGCTCTGCTCACGATAAACTTCTTCCATTATTACAGTGCAATCCACGTACAATACATTAAAATACCATCTAGACATTGCTGGGTATCGCACAATAACCTCGTCGCATTGGCTGAAACTATTTAGCGCGTGACCGGTGTCATAACATTCGCGTCCACCGCTGTTACGTAAGTTCGTGGCGCGAGCTCATGTCCTCAAGTCCGCGGGAAAACCACAACCGTTGTTGTCTGGAAGCTAAAAAACAATTCATGATCCATGCTGCAGGCAGCTGTAGCCATGTCTCTATCCTGTTTTGGCAGCAGACCACACAAAAAGATAATTCAACTGCCTCCACCTCCACCCTTCCAAACCACTCTCCACATGCCAATGAAATCTATCAGCATCTCTTCTTCATGATGACAGGACACAGGATTACATCAGCGAACAGGTTAGTCAGCATCACGATTCTCTCGAATCTCGCTCCCTTTGATGGCCGCAACATTTTGTTGAACTAACGGCCGCCAAGTATCAACGTTCACTGCTACTGTTGTTGGCAGAACACCTGAAAGCCGAACAGGAAAACTACGCGCTTCAATTTAGCACAAGGTGACGAAAAGGTAGACTATCTGCTCAATACTGCGATGCTAAAATCAACGCCTGCCTTCTAAAGAGCTTGTCTTAACGAGCATCAGGTGGTCTGCACAATACGACGCTCCGGAGACTGCAGCCTCTGAACGCAGCTACTCTATGTCCACATTCCCATTCAAAGAACTCCACCTTTCTCTTCACGGGGGCAGTTCATTCAGTCACTCTGTTGCGAGACGTACTCCTACAAACAGCACGGGAAGCTACAAACCAGGGGTGGCTACTGAAAACTTCATTTCATGTATTGACCTTCCCGTGTGCCCTCTGAGTCCTCGTCCTCTTCTTCCTCGGGGGAGGATTCCTCCAAACTACCAGCGCCGGGCCGGGCAGGCGGGGGTGGGGGCGGCGGAGGTGGGGGCGGCCTTCTGCCGGCGGCGTCCCTCAGCATCTTCTCCTTCATCCAGTCCATCTTGTCGCTTAGGGCTGGTTCCGGCGGCCGGCCGTCCTCCTCGTCGTCCTTCTCGTCCTCGGACCCGGCCGAACCGCGGTGGTGCCACCTGGCGAGCGGCGGGCGCGCTAAACCTCACCAGCCCGGCGGCACGCCACTCACCTAGCGACTGGCGCCGGTCAGCCCACTCTGGCGGTGCCCTGTCAAAGCTCGCCAGCTTCTCCAGCCGGTGAGCCCGCTCCAGCCTGCCGAGCGTGGCAGCGTCGAGGCGATGTGCGGACCATTCGGGCTGCGCCGGCGCCGGCGTCACCCGCTCCTGGTGGCGTCGCTCCAGCTCCTCCAGCCGGTCCAGGTCGGCGTGCCGGTCTGCCCACTGGGGCCGGCTGGTGACAGTGGCGGCGGGTCTCAGCCGGAGCGGTGCCCGTCCGCCGGCCGGTGGCGAAACGCTCCGGTTAAACGGCATCGCAGCGCGCCCGGTTTGTTTTGTGGCGGACGTAACTTCGGAGGTCATTAGCGCCACCGGCCTCCCACGCCGGGCGATCGTGAGTGTTGGATCAGATCCAGAGGACACATGTTTCGACTACCACACGATCTTTACGAGGCTTCGAAAACACAGCTTTGCCGAGACCACCTCATTCCTTGGGTGATATACAGACGCTGTACGAACACATTAATCTGCGACGCATGCTCGAGCGCCTGCTTCAAACAAACGCGATGAGTGGCAACTATGGGTTTAGACAAAATACACGGATAGTATTATGCATTAGTCAAAGATGGTTGCTTCGGGTACTTGGTTCCGCCGCATTATCAACTACACTACGCTAAGCATTATACATCCGTAACTTCTGTACCAGGCACGTTGCCGCCGCCACCGCGACCCATGCGACTGACCTGTGGCCAATGTCCGGCTTCTGGAGGGGCAGCGGGACATCGCCGAGCCGGCGCTTAGCGTCTTCTGCCCAGGGCGGCAGCTCCGAGGACGGCTGGCGGCCGGCGGCGCTCCTGCGGCCCACCTTGCGCAGCTGCGGCCGCCGCCACGGCACCGCGTCCGCCTGGCCCGACATGCTGTCCACTGGCCGCCGCCGCTCCGGTGTTTCCGACTCGGATTCCGAGAACGGAGACGACCGGTGGGCGCCGTTCACTCCCGACAGCTTGCCGGCCTCGTCGTCGCTCGTCTCCTCGTCGCTGCTTGCGGATGAACTAGACTCGTTGTCGGGAGATTTCCGGGCAGGTTTGGCTTCCTCTTCAGAGGAGCTCTCCTCTTCTGACCTTTCCCCCTCTTCAGAGGAGCTTTCCTCTGAAGACTCCTCTGCCGGCGGCTTCGCCTTGACCGGCTTCTCCTCGGGTGGTGGCTTCTTCGGTTCGGGCTCAAAGGTCGGAGCGTTCGAGTAGCGCGACCTGTAGCTGTTGACGGATGCCCTGGAACGTACCCACCATGGGTCACGGCAGCCAACCGCATCTCTGGCAATTTAAAAGACGCGGCCGTTCAGCCATCATGTTTGGCACGCAGCTGTTATCGTAAGCGTGTGTATGAAAACGAGAAAACAGCTTCATTCACAGCCAAGCATCGCCTGGAACAAATCTCGCAGGGCGATCAGGCGCACATACGGGGCATGTTCGTAGGGAACGTATGATTAGGTCGTGCGGGACGAATCCAAAATCAACACTCCGCTGACCCGGCGTTGGGTCTCAGCGATAGGCACAATTTTTACCAGTTGGACAGGCGGCGAACGCAGGGTTTGTCAAAACCGATCCCAGTGTTGTAACCGTCTGGGCTGTTTTTCTTGGCTGTTGCAAGATCCCTGACCAAACAAAACGTAAAGCAACTGGCGCCACAAGTTGCGAGATTAATGAACAAAAATGTCGTGTCATATGCCAATAAATAATACCGGATGGTGGCTTCCCGGAAACTGAGCCTCTCACGCTCTCGTTCGGCCATTTCCTGAAGCAAATGCACACGAACGTCACCACGGCCATCGCCTCACTCAGCGAATTGCTACGAGCGCTCAAAATGGCGCGGTCCGTGAGCTCGGAGCACGAGGATACCCACGAGCGGCCGTACGCGCCAATAGAGCAATTGCGACTGAAGGAGCTGTGGCGACACCAGGACCAGCTCACGCGGACGGTGGGCCTGCCGGATAAGGCAGACCCAAAGACGGTGGAGGCGGGCTTGAACCCGCGTCTGAGGCTGCTCGGCCACCATGTTTCGCGCACCACTATCGGCTCAGTTTTTAGTGGACAGTTGGTTAGCCTCGTGGAAAGCCGATCTTAGTGGACACGGACCTGAACGCCTGGACGCGCCAGTCTTCGGGCGGTTCTCCGACCTCTCGCTGCCTGTTGCCGAGGAGTGCAGGCAAGCAGCGTCACAAAGCGCCATCGCAGACCTCAAACGCAGGACACCCGCCATGAACAGTGAGGCAGCGTCAACAGGCGGCGCCCGGCGAGCCCTGCCCCTCACGAGCCCGAGCCAGGCGCAGAACACGCAGAACACGACGCCAGAGCTGCTCGCTAGCAGCAGTCGGTTCGGCTGCGAACACAGCACCGAGCTGCGCAGCCGCCGACTCGTTACCGGCCAGCCCAGTGAGAGTGCTGGCGACAAGAGTGGGGCGACTACACCGTCTACAGCAACGTCAGGAAGCGGCTGCTGGTGTACAGCGCACCGCTAGAGCTGATCGTGCGCCTGAAGCGGTTCGAAGCGTGTGGCTTCCGCTTGCGTCAGGCCAACCGGTAAGTGCAGGTGAGCGGGAGGCTGGGCCTGACGCCGCTCTGCTCCATCGCCTGCCAAGACACGCCGCGGATGCGCTCCCGGGCAGCGGCGCATGGTCTGCTCACTGTTCGGTGCGGTGGAGCACAGCGGCCGGCCAACGGCACAGCGGACACTGCACGGCCCACGGGCGCGTTCGCCGCCGCCGCGAGTGACTCACCATCAACCCCGCCCTCTTCACCGGTTTCGTCGGTGATGCGTACCAGCTGGCCTACACGCGAGTCCACAGCGCGTCCCGCCGTCCGACACGTCTCCTACACTGGAACAGGAACTAGACCAGAAGCAGGAACAGGACCAGGAGCCTGCGTGGGTGATGGAGTCGGAGCCAAAGCCAGAGCCGGCGCCGGAGACAGCTTTCTGGTTCCATGTCCGAGATGCGCACTTAACAGAGGCCACATTGTACAAGTGTTCCAGAACCAGGCGTTCATTTTGTTCCACGAGCGCGCTTCCGAAATGAGTCTGATGCGTTCAGTTTTGTCACCTTGGTTTACCTGTGTTTAGAGTCAAACATATTTCTTTATCATCACTTGTTGCTGGTAACTATGTGTGATTGCAAGTTTAAGGTGCAATGTTTCTGCCTACGAAAGGGGTCAATATTATCCTTATTGCAAGTCACATGGTACGTCACGAGGCAAGTGCTTATTTCAAATGATGCCGGGATTATCCAGATATCACGTGTGCGCATGATGGCTGATCTCGCGCACATGCGTCAATGCTAACAAAATTAAACTTTTCGTGCAGAAAAGTCTTCAAATGTAGCTAAAGCCGGTATGCGCGGTTATGTAAGATATTGATTATAAATGCTTCAGTTGGGGGAGGGGCGCAATGGCCAAGCGATAACGCTTTTGGCTCCCGCAAGGGGGGCCGGGTTCGAATCCCGGTTGCGTTATGCCACTGCAGACGCTGGACCCCGTAAAAGGATAGGCAATGGCGTGTGTCGCGTAAGATCTTTGCATGAAGGAGCTTTGGATGCAGCATTCGGAGTCTTCCCGTCTCACGCTTTGGTGCTGCTCGATGCAATACATTTATTTCCGGATAACTGGGAAAATGTATTTCCGGAACTTTTAACTCTGCATGCGCACATGTCTTTTCATCGTCCTGGGAGCAAGAAGAAAGGTGACTGACGCCGCTGTCCGCCCCAGCGTGCGCTCCGACTTCTACCACGGGACGTACGTTAACCGTGCGGGTCTCGAGACCCAGACCCCGTCGACAGCTGAGGCCGGCCGCCTGCAGAGGCTGGGGTGAGGTCAGCCGGCCGGCGGCGGCGGCTCGCCGATGCGATCTTCGAAGTGGTGTGATGTCTGGCGTGATCTTCCCAGTGGTGTGTTGTCTGGCGTGATCTTCCCAGTGGTGTGTTGTCTGGCGTGATCTTCCCAGTGGTGTGTTGTCTGGCGTGATCTTCCCAATGATGTGGTGTCTGGCGTGATCTTCCAAGTGGTGTGTTGTCTGACGTGATCTTCCCAGCGGTGTGGTGTCTGGCGTGATCTTCCCAGTGCTGTGGTGTCTGGCGTGATCTTCCCAGCGGTGTGTTATGACAGCTCTGCCAGAGTCAGGCCGCGGGCCCGTCATGACGTCAGCACCACCCGGTGACGTCATGCCGACCTCGTAAGCGATGAGTGGCGCACTGACCGCCGCCGGACCTGAGGCCGAGCCAGCGGCCGTCTCCGCCGCGATGCTTGATGCGACTAAGAATAGCTGGCGCGAGCCGCAAGGTAAAAACGGGCCGCCGGGCGCCTGAATCACGTGCGGTGGTCGCTGCCTCCGCTGCTGATGTGAGGGGTTCGAGAGGTACGGCAGGGCGGTGCGGTGAACACACGCACGGCACAAGGTTCATGGGGTGTCCGTAGCACGCGGTATTTACGCGGAAATCGTTACATATCTGTGGTATGTTCACTTAAGACTAACAGCTAACAAAGCTTTGAAATTATATATTTAGAGCTCTGTTATGCTTCAGCATTCTGAAACTTTATTTTCCAAGGATGAATCACGTTCGGCGATCTAAGAATGGCTTTTTGTTGTTGGACACGGCTGAAAGCTATGACGCAATCACCAGTAAGGCGAGTCGCTGCCGGGAGCTGTCAAATCAGACGCCAACATTCAGCCTGCTCCAAGGATTTCCCAAAGGCCTACCGTTGCATGCTTTTTATAGAACACTGGTGCAAACACAACCAAATGCGGCCATCGTTGCCTGTACTACAGGTATTTTCAACATACCTCCCTGCTGCTTCACGCCAATTCAAGTAATCAATGGAGCAGCTTGAAAAACATCATTGCTGTCCCTAGCTTGTCCAGCGCTTGCAGACCACGCGCCGCCTCAGGGCTAATTCATGCCTTTAATGTTACCGTGATTTTGGTGTGACGGAAAAGCCTGAATGCCCCTGGCTTACGGTTGGTGTAGGCCACCTATGCCATGCCTATCATGACTGGTTTCGTTTAGTTGTGTCAATGCATTAAACCCTGTCCAAAACAAAAACAACAGCACTAGCGCATTCAAAGTAAAGCAAAGAACCTTGTTGCAATTCTTTGAGTCCACCACTATGAATCATCACCGGTGACCAAGTGGTTTCGGCACGACCTGTAATTGGTTACGATGAGGCACTTACACCGCGCACAAACATGCACATACGTATATATATATATATATATATATATATATATATACATGTTTGATTAAAAATAACTGCTGACTCAGCATTGACGAGCTTTTTGATGCATCGTTCTAGTTTCCGGGCCTTTCACTTTGCGTCATCGCTTAGATTAAAGATGGTTCGCACAAAATTACTCATAAATTCATCACTCCTTCCATTCTAACGTTTCGAGATCTTATCTCATCTTCGGAGAAGACTAAATTGCACAAGAAATAAGTTTTGAGTTTTGAAGGATGAAAAATTGTGTACTACTGTTAGAAAACATCTTTTGGTAAGGAGAACATAAATGAAGCATAACTAATTGAAGTAAGACGGACTGCTATTTTCATCTTCGTACATGTAAGAAACACTCATAATGGGAACATCACAATGACCAATGGGAACACTATTGTCACAATCACATCAGAAGTGCTCACTGCCCACCACCTAGTAGCTCAAGAGTTCTGCAAGAATTTGTCTGTTTAAGGCCGAAGAGAGTTCGTTCATGAATATGCTTTCCCAAATTTGAAGGCGTCTTCTGTCACTGCACGTCCGTAAAATGTCGGTGCTGTCGTATTACGTAGATTACGTAGATTACGTAGATTTAAGTATTACGTAGAGAGAGGATTTGTCCGTTCGTCGAATGATAATGTCGTCTTTTTCTCGAAGTTTCCTTGCCGCCGTCCTGAGTTCTTGCGTGAATATCTTGCTCCTATCATTTCCACGCTTTTTCGTGCTCTCTCCTAGTAAGCTGTTCTTTAGATCCTTGTCCACAGTAACCTTGTTCTCTTTTTCCAAATTCAAGATATCCTGGTAAAAAATTTATAGTTCTATTTTATTCTTAAGTTTGTCATATTTCGACAACACATGGCAATTAGTCCAAGATTAATCACCTCTTTTTGTTCCTCAGTAAGATCATGTTGAGATAAATTGATGTATCCGTCGGCAGTTTCCGGTCATACTACATGTCCACCATGAGAGGTAATACTATATGTCCACCATGTCCAATACTATATGTCCACCATATATGTCCACTGAATCTTTAATCTAAGCGATGACGCAAAGTCAAAGGCCTGGAATCTAGAACGATGCATCAAAAAGCTCGCCAATGCTGAGTCAGCAGTTATTTTTAATCAATCATGTATCAAAGAAAGAATTCTGCCAAAATATTCCAACATAAAGCTGCATGACCAGGCAGTTAAGAAAGAGGGTTTTACCAAAAGGTGTAGAGAACGACTTGTGAATCACCAACTGCAGCAAAATAAGACGGCCTGTGAAATCCTGAAGAAAAAGAGAAAAGTTTTAGAACAAGAGCTACAGGTACGTTGCCCTGAACATGAACTTAAACAAAAAGTACTTGACGAACTGGACGTGCTTGAATGTGACGCTAGACGTCTTACTAGAAACAGAATCGTGAAAAAGCTCTCAAGGCTCCATGGTGGACATATAGTATTACCGGAAACTGCCGACGGATACATCAATTTATCTCAACATGATCTTACTGAGGAACAAAAGGAGGTGCTCAACCTTGGACTTAATTGCCATGTGTTGTCGAAATATGACAAACTTAAGACGAAAGTAGTACTAGAAATTATTTACCAGGATATCTTGAATTTGGAAAAAGAGAACAAGGATACCGTGGACAAGGATCTAAAGAACAGCTTACTAGGAGAGAGCACGAAGAAGAGTGGAAATGATAGGAGCAAGATATTCACGCAAGAACTCAGGACGGCGGCAAGGGAACTTCGAGAAAAAGACGACATCGTCATTCGACGAACGGACAAATCCTCACTCTACGTAATGCTTGACAGAAAGGAATATCATAAGAAACCAAACTGCATCTTGAACGACGACAAGAAGTTCCGGCGCATCACAAAAGATCCAACAGACAAACTCAAGACCGAGCTTAACAAGCTGATCACTGCTGCCAATGCCGCTGTTGATGGCATACACGTTTCCAAGATGACGGGTGAATTTGCGCCTGGCTATGCTTATGGGTCTGTGAAAACTCACAAAAACGGCAACCCCTTCGTCCAATAATCTCACAGATCCCTTCACCAACCTATAGAATTGCAAAACGTCTCAATGGTCTTCTGTACCCATATCTTTCCATGTCTTACAGCTTGTCATCAACAGATGAGTTTATTGATATAGTGCGATCTCGTCAACCTAAGAGCCTACTAGCCTCTCTAGATGTTGAAAATCTATTTACAAACGTGCCTATCGAAAGAACCATATCCATCATCCTTGACCACGTCTACAATCATCCTGAAATTCCCCCTCTCAAAATATCAAGGCGCCTTCTTGAACAATTACTAAAAGCCTGCACGTTGGAAGTTCCTTTCCGCGGGCCTGATGGCCGAATGTATTGCCAAATTGAGGGTGTTGCGATGGGCTCACTTCTAGGAACTCTATTCGCTAATTTCTTTATGGGACACGTAGAAACCGACATACTACAAAATGACGACATAAGACCGGACATTTACTGCCGCTACGTAGGCGATATCTTTGTAGAAGTTAGGGACACTGACCAACTAGGACATCTCAAAAACACCTTTGAAGAACGGTCTGGCTTAAAATTCACAACAGAGCAAAGTGTGCAAAACGTAATACCCTTTCTTGACGTAGCTGTCGATGGACAAGGACAACAGTTCAAAACGACCGTATACCGAAAACAGACTAACAACGGACGGTGCTTAAATGCTGACAGTGAGTGTCCTCGACGCTACAAAATTAGCGTCATAAGGTTCTTTCTTCCACGAGCATTTAAGCACTGCTCTGATTGGACAGGACTACATGCAGAATTGACACGAATCAAACAAATTTTGGTGAACAACGGTTTTTCGAATTCTGACATTGAAGACGAGACACAACGACATATATATGACACGACATATGGTGGTGGGCGGTGAGCACTTCTGATGTGATTGTGACAATAGTGTTCCCATTGTGTCTTTGTGATGTTCCCATTATGAGTGTTTCTTACATGTATGAAGATGAAAATAGCAATTCGTCTTACTTCAATTAGTTATGCTTCATTTATGTTCTCCGTACCAAAAGATGTTTTCCAACAGTAGTGCACAATTTTTCATCCTTTAAAACTCAAAACTTATTTCTTGTGCGATTTAGTCTTCTCCGAAGATGAGATAAGATCTCGAAACGATAGAATGGAAGGAGTGATGAATATATGAGTAATTTTGTGCGAACCATCTTTAATCTAAGCGATGACGCAAAGTGAAAGGCCCGGAAACTAGAACGATGCATCAAAAAGCTCGTCATTGCTGAGTCAGCAGTTATTTTTAATCAAACATGTATCAAAAGAAAGAATTCTGCCAAAATATTCCTACACACACACACACACACATATATATATATATATATATATATATATATATATATATATATATATATATGTAAACATATATATATATATATATATGTGTATATGTAAACATATATATATATATATATATATATATATATATATATATATGTATATATGTAAACATATATATATATATATATATATATATATCATGGGGAGCACAAATGTTGTGTATCTATAAGCATGCATTTACTGCTACTTGAATATTATGTGAAAAAGTTTCCTTCACTGTCTAAAACCACCGTGCTTTGCTAAATGCTAAAACACCGTTATTTTATGCTGAAAGGGAAACACGGCCAGCGACGACGTTTTGCGTTAGAGTGACGGCCTCAGTTCATTGAAGCTAATCGTTCCTTTGCGTTTACATTGATATGGACCAAGGAAACGGGTACCAACATGCCCCAAAGCCAAGTAACATGACGCTGGCTACAATAAAAACGTCGCCAAGTGAGTGACGTCAAGATAAGAAATATTTCATTTCTACTCCTCGCTTTCCACTGAGGCTCTCACCCCAAAACCGGGTCTTTCTCTATTTACTATATTACATGAGGTAATTCTAAATCTATGCGGCTATGCCTTCACAGCAAGCAGCTCATGTATGTTCCTGGCAGTAGCTTGCCTCGGCCTGTACGAAGATCGTGAAAATGGCATCGTTCACGGCTTGAGTTGCTACTGAAAAGGAGCACGTGGTTAATGCTCGGACAACTCAAATTCACGCCGATGCCTTCCAAACGACTTAAGACGTCTGCTACATAGGCGTCACACCATAGGCCGGCCCGACTAGGACCCATTCACACAATGTCTTGCCTGTGCCATGGCATGTATTTACTACGAACCGTTCCATATGTAAGGCTTAAGGTTTGATTCGAGTCAATGGGTTACAGGTTACGCGACAAAACGAAGATGCGGTGAAAATTCTAGAGCCTTGAGAAATGCCCTATAAGTGAAACGAAACCCTCCTTTTACATTGGTCAAGTTCAGATAGGAGCGCAGCACGGCTCCGGAAGGTCAAAACGGCCGGCGGCCGGTGGTTTCAGGATCAGGCCGCTCGATATAAAACCGCAAAATTACGACTTCTTGCACTCGGCCGAGATAGCAGCCGGCGGTCCCGCCCCAAACTGATGGGCGGTGAATGATGTGGAGAAAACATGGGCCTGGATAGGGAGTTTGCGGGCTTCAGGTGTGAGACGATGACGACGTTTTCAGCAAAACAGAATGTAGTTGAGCTTTTTGACCACTTTAGACGTGTGCTCCTCGCAAGACAGGGTACGGTCGATGGTCACCTTAAGTATATTTACGGTCGGCGAGGGAATTAATACTAGGCTGGAGATGTTAGGATGGAATGATGAGGCATTTCATAACCTGGGGCGTGCTGACCAGAAGAAGGGGCTTCATCTTTGAGGAACTGGCAGTAAGCACAGTTGGAAGACAAGAATGGTTTCCTCCTGTCGATAATTTAGGGTGGACGGGGTGCGCGGAGTCGAGGAGATGGGTATCGTCGGCTTAGGAAACTAGGGGTAAGAGCCCATCGGTGCTCATGTTTTGCCCCTGATCTTATGTGTGGCCGCTGTCTCCTTCTCCGCCGAGTGTAAAAGTTGCGCTTGGCCACCTGGGTCGCCTCGTGGGCGCGGGGCCGGGACTACATCTTACCGGTCTTGGGGTGGCCAGGTTGGCGCTGAGTGAAGGAGCTTGTTACGCGCCGTGACAACATTGGCGTCTTCGGGGCCTAACTGAACCCCCACCCCACCTCCACCCCACAGGGTGGCGGTCAGGTCGCTGCCCACCACTCCTAACACTGTTCGTCAGCGCGTCACGAGGTCGGTGCTAGCCGCCGCGCTGGGGCTGCCCGCCCTTCGTTTTAGACAGCCGGAAATACTGTGTGAAAAACTCGGCCTCTGTCTTGAAACTGTCTACCGCCGCTGTGGCTTCACGGAGCCGTGCCGTGTCCATGTCTAGACTTCACCAATGTGACCAGCGGTGAAAAAGCTTCCGTTTTACCGGATATGATCGATGACAAAGACCCGACACTTTCGCGAGCCAGTTGGTGACCAAATTGAAAAATGAAAGCAAATTTCAGCAGACCAGACCATAGTACAGCAGATTATCCCAGCTCGACGAAACTCAAAGCTTAGTATCGGTCTGCACTCGCTAACGCTTGCAGCGTGAGCGCATGAAACGTTGACATTTCGCTATGTGAGCAGGGCGAGCGATCGGATGTTGCCAAACATAATAGCTATAATCAGGATAGTTTTTAGCGGGTGGAGGAAACATACTACAAACTATACTATATCGGTGCTGATGTCACAGATCAGTGGTGACACAGTGTTTTTCGAATGCCGCTCAGATCAGTGCTTTTCGCTGATTTTTCAGCCAGGATTCACTTCACATACTAAAAGTGTAAAATACCAAATAAATAGACTTATCGTATCTAGTCGTAAGAATCGTGGCTGGCCACAACATCTTGCGACAAGCGTGATCAGTTTGCTATGCAGCGTTTTAAAGCGTTGTGCCATTTGAGACGGATGGGCTTGATTGTTTGCCATGTGGTAATGCGTTGGGCTCCGTGCGAGGCCGTGGGCTGCTGTCGGTTGTGTTCATGTCGTGGAAGCTGGCTGGCTTAAAGGACGTGGCTGATCGTCAGTTTTAAGGCAATAGCGTTAAAAAGCCCTGCCGATCAAGGATTGTTGTTTGTGGATACCTGGGCCGTAGTCAATGGACTCGTGTGAAGGTCAACTTGGCCCCCCGGGCGCGTGTGAAGACGGTTCCAAATTTTGTCAGTGACGGGAAAGGCACTTTTTCACTCCTGAATGTAACCCAAATGTGTTGTTTATGTGCGCTCTTAGCACGCTATCAGTGTGTTAGATCATTGTTGAATCTTCGTTTTTACCGAAGAAACTGAAGCTGATTGTCTCAAATCAGACTTTCAGTTACAGATATTGAACTATTGGTAATAATTACATCGTCAGGATGATTATGATGTTGGCAGCCACATGCAAGAGTTCCGTTCAAGGCCATGCAACTTAGGTTCTATTGTAGCAAACTGTGATCACACAGTGTGATTTAAAACTCGTTGACAGATGGCAGCAGAATTGGTCAAAATTCCGGGAGAGGATCTACGAATGGCCACTCGTTTTGGCCTTACTACAGGAACTCCCAACTAAAACGCAATGCTGCGAGAGCTGCTCAATTTAATGTATAATTTAAGTTTTTATTCAATAAAATTTAATTCAACTTAATAAAAATGAAATAAAAAGTAATAATTTGCCTTAACAGCAAAAACAGCACCGGGGCAGCATAAAAACGGCAGAAGCAAAAACACAAGCTGTGCTAGTAGTTCTAACCTGCCTAGGAGCACATCAAAATTAGTAAGCCATTTCAGTATCCCTTGGTGAATTTAATATCCTTCCACTGACTTACGTTCGTCGGTACCATGACCAGTTCTGAATTTTAGCTCTTTGATTAAACCACGCTGTATTTATATGGTGCACGTTGGTATATTCATATTCGCATGCACATCGCGCTCTATTAATATTCAAAATTACTGTGAAACTTTGCGAATGAAAAATGTATGGTACATATATCACGCAAGTTCTTAAGAGATATGTGATTACTCGGCAAACTGCACAAGGCTTTGAGCAAAACAATTTTCTTCAATGATCAAGTAACCGAACAGTTTTGTTCCGTTCCTCGGGAGCCGAGATGAGCGAAACAGGAGGGCATCAGAAATGAATATGACGGAATTTAGACAGCAAAAAATATTTCGTTTTCATCAATTGCGTGTTAAGGCAGGAACAGGAATATGTGAGACCACGTTAACCAAGTGGGAGATGCCCGGGGAAACAAACCACTGTTCTCGAGCTTTTCGGTCAGCAATGGATGAATTGGCAATGCGGATGAAGGGGACGCAAGCGGTCACAGTGATAAAGCACACTACGCAAGCCAATGTCAGGGGAAAGCTGAAAGCAACAGGAGCGCAAGTAACACGTCATAATGGGAGGGGTATACATCAAACTTCCCACTGAAATCGAGTTCAGCGCACGCATGCGTGTCGTAAAAGAACTTCGATTTTCCCGATCATGATATATTATTGTGGCTAGCTGGGAATTTCAGCCGTCAACTTTAAATCAAGCACACATTAACACTTGCCAAACATTTGGTAACGGAGCATGGCCTTCTGGGCTAATTCATGCCTGTGCCCCTGGAAAACGACTACGAACGACTGCGTTATGCTTAACAAACGGCTTTTAGAAAACTGTCTAGCGTAATAAGATAAATAAGCGAATCCCCCATAACTCAAGCCGTTCAGGGATATTTCTCTCTAAAATCGGTTGGGCGTGGCTGAGGCCAAAAAACTGTATCCGGCCTACCCACAAAACCTGCTTTGTCCCCGGATTTCGGCCATATAAATTTGCGTCCTGGATGCTGGAACAAAAAATACATGTTTTGGGGATTCAAAATTGTTTCCTGCAAAGGAATGAATTATCATTCCAAGTTAATATCTGCTGCCTTTATGTAACAAAATTAGAACAGGGTGTTTTTAAAGAAAAAAATGTCAGTAAATCTTAGGATGTGATCACTGATGAATAGCGCTGTCGCTGATCGTGCTACACAGGCACCACAGCTACGACTATGTGACAAATATACTTGCTACTGTTGCGAAGAAAACACACGTTAGTTCTTTCTGGGCCCCCCTGTACGTTTGGAAGCTGCAACACATTGCAGCCAATTTTTTTTTGTCCAATTTCAGTCGCAATCATTTGAAAAACTTGTCAACCACTTGCAGATTGGCTAAACATATGAAGGAGATAGCCTGACAAAAACTTTGGGTACATAAAAAATACTACTTGATACAAAAACAGCATGATACTAGTGATGATGTGTTTAAGCATATTTCACCTAGTCTACAAACGGTTGGGATAATTGTTAAGTATGTCTTTGATCCAGCGTTCCCTTTTTTCTCGCATGCATGGAGGAGCCCCAGAGAATCATTGCGGGAGGGCTCAAGTCAGCATTGTAGAGCTCAGCCCCCCCCCCCCCCCTCCCCGCTCGAAATATGTCAAGTGTTCCCTGAAGTCGTTCCGTAGGCATGGTGTAGTTACCGTGTCATCACGATTTGCCTTTTCAACTTGCAAATCCATGTACAAATATATTGCACTTAAACATGATGAAATTACATCGACATCTGTTTATTGGTGAGGAATCTGCAGCCAATAACATGAGACCATCTTTTCATTGCGAAACAGAGAAAAACAGCTGAGGGCAATTGGTATCTTCTAATGCCTATGCTGAATGTCATACGTCAACATTTTTGGCACCTGAAAAAGGTCAAGAACACGTGGGTCATGGCGTAAAATATACGCCGGGAGCATTCCGGCGATTTCGCCGATATTCCACGGTGACGTCACTTCCAGGCCGGCCGCGGGAGGCATACCGGCCGGATCGTTCTCGCCCGCTGCGGTGTGTTTTTATTTGACGTGTGCCGCTGGCACCTCGCCAGGTGCCACGGTGCTCAGGCGGCCGCGACGGGGGAGGGGGGAGCGTGACAGGAATAAACCGAATGGGGGTCAGCCGGCCGGCGCGGCGGCGCTGAACTTGACTGTAGTGGGGCGGCGGCCTGCCGATCGCAGGCACGCCTCGTCACGCGGCCCGCACGCTGACGCGTCACGGACGTCGCCGGCTGAGGCGACGCCCCGCCGAAACGGAGGGGGATCCCCGCAGCTGTCGAGCGGTTCTCGGCGACCACTTGTCACCGACCACGTCGAGCGCCCATTACCATGACACACGACTGGTGTTTTTGAGGACTTGGCTTAGGACTATGTCTCCGGCCAGACGGCACGGGTTTAGAAGTTACTGGCGCCCCGGCCGGCGGGGCTGGGCTTGGGGGGCAGAAAGAGACAAGTCATACAAAGGAGGCCACGGGTACTGCGACGCAGCGGCGAGGAGGCTACTGAGCGGTGACCGACGCCAGCCAGAACCGACGACGTTAGCGGTCCCAGTGGGGGGAGGGAGGAGAGGGGGACGCGGAGCATGCCTTCCAAACGATGATAAAAGAGAACTCTCACCCACTCACTGGCAGCCTCTTTCGTCTCGGCATTTGAAATCGTTAGCATACGCCGTTAGCATTCGGTATTGTATTTACACATACGCCTGATGGGGGACCGCTACGGCAGCTTCACCCTCTGATTGAGCACGCTCGCACGATGGGTTGGTCAGATGTGGAGCCAGCTTCTGCGTCCCTGTTTTGTCCCGAGAGAGCCAGTAGGCAGGTGGGCACTCCGCTTCATGAAACGTGGCGACAGTGTGTTTTGTTTTGAGCATTTTGCCAAACCTATTGGTTGATTTTATTGGCATGTCCGTACACAGACTGTAACTGATGACCCGAGTTGAAATTGTACCAACTGGGTTGACCTACTGACATTTGATTGATTCCTGCCTTCTTACAGATTGGCTCAGATCTTGCATACTCCTCAGTGTTGTTCAGAGGCTGGGCAACGACGGGGTCAGGTGCATGACGGCGGGTCTGGGCATGCCCAACAAACAGATTCCAGGGATTTAGGCAGGCGTTGCGATGGACTCCATATGAGCTCAAACATGAAGAATAATCCAACGCCTTGCCAAGGAGTTCGTTTCGCGTCTTGCCTCTCGTAATGATGGGTGCACGTTACAGTGGTTTACTTTTGATGTTAACGAAGCGTGAAGCGGTCGCTTTTTAAGCAATCGCAAAAGAAATCTGAGCTAAAACATAAAATAATCACTTAAGCTTAGTTCAACTTAGCAATATGCACTGGATACACATCATGAAAGATGAGCACTGTGTCTGCGTTGTGCATGCGTACGGCCAAAATTCGGTACGCCAGTCATTTTATTTAACCAAGGAAAGAATTAGACAGGTGCCGAGTCACTTTTGTTAAATTGGGTTTTGGGGCCAAAACGAGTGTTATTAACACCATTACCAGACAACTTACTGACTTTGTCTTCTGTGCTGCTGACACCAGTGTTCAACGAAAACCCTTACTGGAAAAAACAGAGTTCAAGAACGAAGTTTAAGACGGTTCAGATGCACAAACTGCAAAAGCGTCCGCGCTATTGTCGGTGTTTCTGCACCGAAAAAGGGCTCAGCTTGGGGAACACAACATTGTTAATACACCAAACCGTGCCTGCTGACTAAAAAGGCCCATTATGTTTTCTAAGAAAACTCGGTCAAAAACTTGACAGGAAAATCTCATATGTACAGGTCGTCAGGTCAAACCAGCAAAATTCACCGGTCAAATGTAGTGGCACGAACTTGTCTGCACACTTTTCGAGGCAAAGGAATCGGTAACTATTTTTTAAAAGCGGCATCTCACAGCCTCTCACGCAGTTTCGTGAAGGCGGCTATAGCAAATTCCTGATGTTAAACTTATCGCCAATGAATGGCTCATCATGCGCAACCAAGAGTGACACTACACCAGCCCGGGTGGCCAGGTACTCACATGATGTGGTGCCTAACTATGTCTCTTCCCCGTGCGTGGCTTACGCGTCCAGACGGCGGACTGGCGCCGCCGACGACGCCGCCGCCGCGCGGTCCGGTGCCGCTGCATTGGCTCGCTGCCCTGCCCCGGGTCGACCGAAGCGGCAGCCGACACAGCGCAGAGGTGAGGCTGCCGAGGGCCACCGACCATGGGGAGCGGTCGGTGTGCGGAGAACCTCTGAAGCAGCAGCCGACACAGCGCAGAGATGAGGCTGCGGAGGGCCACCGACCATGGGGAGCGGTCGGTGCGCGGAGAACCTCTGAAGCGGCAGTGGAGTCTTTGTGGAGTACAGCCAGCCTTCCATTCTTCATGAACGACTCGACCCTGACACATAATGAAATACGATAAGACTTGTCTTGCTTTTTACGTTTAGCGTTTAATGTCGTCGCGAAGCGAATCCAGCTGGCACGTGTTCCATACGCATGCGCAAGAGCAATCGGCGCACAGTTTGTATTGACTCAACTATGTCGGGCACGTCGCGTGTATCGCGTTTTTGTATATTTTAGCAAAGATAGTGGTTGAGTTTGATGGCATGTCGATAAACAGACTGGAACGGGTGAAATCAAGACTTCAACAAGCCAATAGAGGTTTTCACAATGAACACTTCCTCTACCCACTTCACCGGCTTTCCATGGGGCTGTGGGCTTCCTTCTCCTCACCCGCCCGTTGGTATTTTCCGCCATTTTGATTTCGAATTAAGGAAAAGTTTCAGGGACGTTCACATGCAAATTCATTTTCTAAAAGGGAGTGTTAATAGACAGGGGAGTTTAGTTTCGCAAAGGAAGTCTGGAAGAACTGGAACGAAAGCTATGGGAATGAAGCGGCCCCCCTCTAGCAAACTGAATGGGAAATTACGCCCTGGAATGAAGCTAATTATTACTGGAAGGAGCGTTACAATAGCTATGCAAAAAGCAGCATTGCTTCATATTTCTTAAAGCATTTAACCAATATTTCGTGAATGTCGTACCCATACCCGTACCCACGGCTCGTGTTTACACAAACCCGTACCCACTCTAATCCGTTGCCCATTGCAAACGGGGACCCACGTTTCACGCAACCCAAGATGTTCCACAGAAATCAATAAACACGGACGTAAAAGTCGCACGGCAGGAATACAGCACGAACGTGATGCACATTCGATGCTTATGTCTGGTGATAATCATGGCTGATGTCTCATTGTCATGCCATAGAATTACTTTGCAGTGCAGCTCACGATGGGCATTTCCACCAAGCGCGCAAACTGTTCCCGCCATACTATCTTCCCGTCACGCACTCGCACAGATAGACCTGTGCGAGTGCGTGATTTCCGGAGGGCTAACAAGCGGACGGACACAAGGGTGGTAAAAGTGCGCTTTTCGTCACCGACCGCTTTGAGGAAAATTGTCACCAGTAGCGTAACGCGATATCATACGACAAAACGGTCATTAAATGCATGTCCAGTAGCCAGACTTGTGCTGGATTCGAGCTGACTCATGAATCGACTCATGAATCAATCGTTTTGAGATGAGTTGTGAGCTGAATCGATTTACTGCAAAAAAATTAGTTTTGAGCTATGAGCTTAGTCACATTCTCCGTAAATTTTATGAGATGAGTCGTGATTTAGTCATTACCAACAATGTTGTGTCAGTGAGTCATATGACTGAAATGATAATGGTAACACGAGGAAACACGGCAGACCCCACACAAGACACAACTTAGCAGACCATTTCAAGGTGCTAAAAAGTAGCATTAGCATTAGTATGTAGTGTGTAGTATGTACCAGTACATGTAGCATTAGCTGTAAAGTTTTCTACAAAATCAGCACAAAGTTTGTGATTGTTATTTCTAAGCAGCAAACATAATGCCGTTCATTATGAGCTAAAGCTTGTCAAATCTCAACTCGGAACCAGAGGTCATCGCATGATACAGACATTCTGCATCCGTAAAATCTAACCTAAAATCACTGAAAGATTGCTACCTATTATATCAAAGGAATAGCCATATTTGTAATGCCAGTTGTCATAATAATGAACTTATCCACATCTGACCCTCATTCCCCACTTCCTGAAATGTTCTAAGCCAAGGTGGTATACACCAGGTGAAACCATCCCGACAACGCACTTCTCAGCAAAGATCTCTATTTGACGTCACCGGGGCCGCTCCTTTAACGCAGGGACGGCCGCGCGCGTGATAAGGGCCATGATGGACCGCACGTATTACAACACTTTTGGTGGGCGGAATGACTGGCAAGGCCAAATTAATTATAAATGAATGAAAACTATTGGCAGTTTTGCCTGATTTTGAAGACATTTCGAGAAGCGAGGCGGTAGTATAGAACCCAGGAATACAGCTTCTCGAGGACGATCCGCCGCGCTTTACGACAAAGAAGTGCTTTACTAAGGACTCATCTATAACTTCGGAAGCACCAGACGGACTCAAAATTGCACCCTCGGGTTATCAGTTTGTTTCGTGCATCACAGCTGCCGCTCTGCGGGGTACCTACCCCAAGTGAATCCATGGAACTTGTGAGCCCCAGCTGGCATTTGGATTGCGCTTCGGTTTGGCACATCACCCGACAGAACAAAATGATTGCATCGATATAGCCTATGACAGTGTACCGGAGCTAGTGCGGGCGTATCTCCCACCTTCCTGGCTGAAATATCTTTCAGGTGCAGTCGGGTATAGCAGCGCAGGAAGCTTGTAAGGTGCCCCAAGCTCCTCGACAGGGGCTCCCGACCCAGACCTGGCCAGGCACATTCGTGCGGCTCCATCTAACGGGGGCAGTGAAGTCAATGCACACGGGAGCCTAGTGATTCACCACAACTAAGCCCTGATGGTTGCTAGTTTCATGGTGCAAAAGGTACTGCTGGTTTGCTCCACCTTTGCCTGGCAAATACTGGATAGGACTTGCTCGGGTATTAACAAAATGCAACCTAACAGCGCATCACATCCCACGTCTATGATCCTTTGGCTATTCATGATGAATGCAATGGATCAATTGA